TTAGCGTAACTGGGATAGTTCATTTTGGGAAGAGGAGCAATCCGAAATCTGGAGCGAAATGGGATATAGGATCATTTTCTTGACCCTTGTAGAGGTGGTGTGACAAATGAAATTTCCTAATTCGAAGGGGCTTCGGTCATCTCTCAACCGCAAACGGTCCTAATGAAGCATCGCCGCTACAAAAGTTAAATAGATGATCCAATAGTCCACTCCAAATCTGAAATTTCTTATATTCACGTTAAAGCTTTCTCAGTGGTGTTTTAACACTACTTGCTAGCAAAATTTGATTTCTCTGCGAGCTTCACATTCTCTCTGCTGCCTCTCTTCAGTTATTTATATCCCACTCTTTCGAAAATGTAGAGGTGCATTAGTTTTGAGGTGGCTCACTTCTCACTTTGCTTGATTGGTCGGCCTTTTGACATAACCTTTTAGTGTATGACCCTTATGCCACCCCTAGCCGGGATGATGTCGATTTTATAAAATAAAATGAACTCTCTTGAACTGAAGTTGCACACACATACATCTGATAATGATACAATGGTAATGACCATAGAGCTTTTACACCGGTCGCCTCGCGCCCAAGTGCGAAGTTACCTCAATGATTTGTGCGAACTCGATGGTCGTGCACGAGTTTCCACGCCCGAGAATACCTCATTATCAAAACGACCTGTTCGATGATCCCGACATGGCAGGAATGGTACCGACGCGCGGAAATGGTATCACTGTTTACCATTCGACAAAGGAGGTTGGTAACTCTCAATACAGTATAAAAAGCCTGTGAAGTAATAGGCAACTATAAACCAGAAAGGTTTAAACTCAAAAAGAACCTAGCGCCATTCACTGTAAATGTTGCCGCCCACCATTTCCTTTTTGTATAATCCTCTGTTTAAGCATTGTGATGTAGGCCTTAAGAGAATTGCTTGAACTGAGTGGCGCTCTACCCTCGTCATTATCATATTGAATTATGCTTATTACCCTGTCTATGTCAACAGTTAAGTACACTTAGTCGAGGAAATTTTATTTAGAGAATCTTTAATGTAACGGAAGATGATTGCATAATAAAAGTCACAAAAGCAAATTATTAGCATCACCGCGTCTTCTTCTCTTTTTCTTCTTTTCTTGCATCTGTCAGGACAGGAGGAAACAATGCTTCCGAACATTCTCTATGGCATAGTAAGGTCCCGTATGCAATCATCCAACATTATGAATAAGAATCATCACAACAATTGCACTGCTGTTACTACATAGAACTTTGTAAGGAACTTTTGGGAAAAAATTTAAAAAATATTCAATTCCTGAAGCAGATGACGGACACCATGGTAAACAAAAGGCTAGGGAAGACTCAATCTAGTTTCGACCAATCACTACTGCTGGTGGCCCAAACAGAGATTGTGTCCGTCAATCACCCTGTTGACACAACAGTCTTGGTCTATACCACATAGAAACTTCTTTCACTGCATTTTGATATGAAGTCAATAAGGTCA